TGTAAGGTGCTGGACTGGTGGGGGCAGGGTTAGGTTTCCAGGTCCCAGTGGAAACGGAAGGTCCTGTGCTTTAGGCATGAACTTACCCTTACACATGTAACACATAACTAACTCGCTTGTTTCTATCTTGATCTCCCCTTACTAAACTGTAGCCCTTTAGTGGCAGAGATGATGTCTTCCTAAGCAACAGGCACTTAAAATTTTTAAATTGTCAGGCTACAGACGTTGAATGAAAAGAGGCCGCAGGAGTAACAAAGAGCCTGTAGTCAGACATCCAAGGAACGGGGCCCCAAGAAACCGCTTGCTGTGTGAAAACGTAAGTGTGAGAATGCTCGGCCTTCTAACTAAAGAAATATACTTGGTGGACCGCTCTTCCATCCCTGTAGGGTTTTTTCCATAAGCAACAAAGGAGTCTTATGAGCTACATCTGACACAGCAAACCTCCTCCATGCCCCCTAAAAAACAGAAAAGTACGCTTCTGATTAAACGTGGCCCCTGCTGCTGCTGAAGTCAGCCCGAGCTGCTGGAGACTCACTCTCTTGGAGCTTCCTCAGACAAGGCAGCTCCTTCCTCCTCCCATGTCTAGAGTTTACCCAGACACTCCCTTCTCCTAGTGGAAGAAAATGAGGAGGAGGAACCAACCTGGGCTAAATATTTCTAAAGTACCTTTAGTTCCCCGGATAAATCAACGTTATCATTTTCAGAATTTCTACAGGAAATATTGAAGACAAAACTTTAAGTGACCCTGAAAGCTAATTCATAACCCATTTAAAAGCAAGCGGATCATTTAAAATTAAAACATCAGCTTCCTAAAGATGTTTTTTGAAAGTATTTATACAAAAAGCATTTTGCAAGATTAAAGCAAAAATTAACAGCATGAGATTATTGGGAAAATCAGACTCCAAGCATTTATTTTCACTGATTAAACGCATCCTCTACCTTAATGTTAGCTCCTTAACAACTTGAAATAGTTTTCATTGACTTGCAATTTGCATGATGAAAATAGTATTAATATTTTCTACACAACTATGTGTTCAGTGTACCCATATCATGCCATCCTAACATAATAAAACATTACTACACACCTCACCTCCTTCTCACTGGACTAAACTGAATCAGAGTCTCAACTCAAAAGCTTAATGAAAATATTTTTATTCTTAATATTTCCAACTTGAAATTAGTAACCACTAGAAGGGGTACTATGACGCTTTTTTGTTCCCAAAAGTTAACTCAAGCACATGAACCACTTTAGTATATTATTTTATATAATTTATGAATTTCAGTTTCATAGGATTTCATAAATTTTTTTTTTATATTATACTGTTTCCTTTACAGTGGGTCTTGAGGATTAGTGACATGTTGTAAAGTACAACTGGTTCCTTATAATTTTTCTATTGTAAAAAAATTACAAAAGTTTAACTAGTTTTTGGGGTTTTTTTGTTTTTGATGAGGAAGATTGGCCCTGAGCTAACATCTGTTGTCAACCTTCCTCTTTTTTTTTTCTCCCCAAAGCCCCAGTGCATAGTTGTATATCCTAGTTGTAAGTCCTTCTAGTTCTTCTATGTAGGAGGCTGCCACAGCATGGCTTGATGAGCGGTGTGTAGGTCTGTGCCCAGGATCCGAACTAACAAATCCCAGGCCGCCAAAGTGGAGCACGCGAACTCAACCACTACACCACTGGGCTGGCCCCTTGACTAGTTTTTTAAGGGGAGAAATGAATATCTGATTACAGTTTTTTATGAAGTTCAAATCTTTCAAAAATGAATGGGTTCTATTAGACCCTAGATTCTTTGTGCTTAAGGATTTGATTATCCAAATACACTCTAAATGGGTAGGCATGGCAAGCTGAGAACACACCTCTTCAGTTAAAATACTTGTCTTCATACAGAAATGTGTACAAGAATTATACACATTTATGCACAAATTTCAGAACAGATATACTACAGTATACTGTAGTTTTCCAAACTATTCAAATATTACTTTTAAAAAACATCACATCCTTGAGGAGGGGTCCTAATCTTCACTTAAGGTAAATAGAAAAAGTGCCCTCTGGCCACGAACCCTGCTCAGGAACTCACCAAGGGTCCTCAGCCTGAGCACAGCCAGACCATGATGTTAAGGAAAAAAATTTAAAAACGAGAAACTAACATGCTCTAAGAAAACAGGCATTGGGGGTGGGAGCACATTCATGCTGCATTATCCAGATGTTTGGCTTATCTGTTAGCCTAACCTGTCTTCTCTGAATTAAGTCTTAACCAAATCACCTTGCTTTATCCACACCTTTCCTTCAGCCAAAGAGAAGAGCCAAGAAGCTTCTTTTAGCCAAATGCCTGTAATGATCCTGTGTCTTGTCCACTTAAAATCCTCCACATGCTGCCAATGTTTCCCTCACAGGTATTTATGTTACGATACCACCCTGCATTTGCATCACGCTTTTACATTTTACAAAATGTGCTCATGTTCATGACTATCTTAAATCCTTGTCACCACCCTGTAAGCAGATGTGGCCAGATGTGGACACGAGAAATTTAAGAGTCCTGCCTGAGACAACTACATCAGTATAGACGTAAGCTACCCACACCGGAATCCAAACCTCAGTTCCTCGTCTATGGGCCTCCCTGTGTTATAGACTGAATTGTGTCCCCCCGCACCAAACTCTATGTTGGATCCCTAACCTCAGTACCTCAGAATGTGACTATATTTGGAGATCAGGCCTTCAAAGAAGTAATTAAGTTAAAATGAGGCCAATAGGGTGGGCCCTAATGCAATCTTATCAGAAGACGAAATTTAGACACTGGGGGCATTCCTGCACAGAAAAAAGGACCATGTGAAGACACAGCAAGAAGGTGGCCATCTGCAAGCCAAGAAGAGGCCTTGGGGAAATCAAACCTGCCGACACCTTGATCTGGGACTTTAACCCTCCAAACTGTGAGAAAATAAATTTCTGCTGTTTAAGCCACCTGGTCTGTGGCATTTTGTTATGGCAGCCCCAGCAAACAAATACACCAGAGACCGTCCTATACAACGACGTACGCTCCCCCTGTTTATCCTTCAGCATTTCAGGGAAACTAGATTTCACATAAAAGCCATATTTCTCCTATACTATGTCTGGTGCTGTGTTTTAGGTGATAGGAGTTGAACTGCTCTGTTAGTATAAATAGGGTTTTAAGTGGTATCTTACTCTCCGTTCTACCAGGATTTATCTACGTTCTCGATCAGAGGAAAAAAATCCCCTGCTCATGCCAATGGGGCATTAACGCTAACTAAACACATGTAATAAAACACTAGGGCTACTTCGTATTTACACTGAGATTGACAAAGCTCACAAAGCACACACACGTTAATCTCATTTTATCCTCCCAATACCACTATGAAATAGGAAGCTGAGGCTGGACAGGTTAAGTTAGTTAAAAGAGAACACATACTTAATAAGAGGCAGAGAAAGACCTTGAACATTGTTCTCCAAACTACTCCATTTAACCTTCAAAGCAGCTCTGTTCCTCCACATGTACAATAAATCTTCAATGAGAAGTGTTTGCAAGACGATTTGAAAGTAAAATCCTAGTCTATTATTGCATTTTGTCTGGAATCCATATATCTGCCCTCAAGACTCAATAAAGCTATAAAAAATGCTTTTGTACCATATTCTTTTAATTTCTGCATTTCAAAAAGAAAGTCTTCTTTTAACACTAAGGAGTCCTGGAAAACGTGAGTCAAAGGAAGGTGTTACTTGTCTCCCAGTGACGGGTGAAAGAGGCAGCTTTATGAAAGCCAAAAACTAACCTATAATTTCATATTACAAAATATAATAGAAAACATATTCTGGCAGAAATTTTGCTGCCTGCATCCCTTTTCAGCTATAAAATAGTTACATACACACACACACAATCTGAGAAAGATCAGACTTTAAACATATTGCAGCAACACACATGCACAACATGAGAAGTTTCACCAGGGTCGCCTGTGATGACAGGATACACAGACAGCCCCACAATAAAATCAGCCTCACAGCTAAATCAGAGTCTTCTTGGACACAAGAATATATCATCCCTGATGAAAAACAGATAAGCAAGGAGGAAAACGCTCCAATTTAAAACTAACATAGATGAGCCTACACAAAGTACCCAAACTTTTGGTCCACAAACCACAACTCTCTAATTTGTCATGGAAGGCAAGAGATATTTCAGCCAAGAACGAGGAGAGAAAGAGAGATTAACTCCACCGTTAAAATTTATCTGCATTCCAATACATAGTACTTTCTAATACAGACGTCATTCACTGACCAAACTTTAATGATCAACGAATAAATTAAGTTAAACTTGTCAGGAAATCCTGACACTTTCTGCTCTGTAGCGCTTTAAATAAATCATATGGTAGGCGCTCAAAATACATATGCGAAACGTTAAATGGAAACTATCAGCTCTTTCAGATCTCATGTTACAAACAAATTACAAGGCAGCAACGTGTCCCTTTAAGAATCTTAAGCATGGTATATTTTATCCTTTTGCTGACCCCCAAATTCTCAAACTTGGAAGAGTTGGAGATAAGAAGCATCTTCCTCAGCACTCCGTATCTATGACAGCTAAATCAGCTAACCTCCATAAGACTGGAAATCCCCAAACTAGACCACAAGATCATTTTTATTCAATCATGACTCTCACTGCCTTCACCAAACATAATTTCTGTCACCCTGGCTATTGCCAATAAAAGATAATTTTTTCAACACACAGTAACCATGCTAATTAAACAAATTCACAAGGCATGAAATGTACAAGCAGAATTTAAGCGTAGGAATGGAGGACAATATTCAATCAGAAGAATCTAAGCATAACAGATCTAATTTTTCACTCCAATCTGTAAAAAAAAACCACATTCATTTTTTATCTGAAACAACTCCTAAAATCCATGTTAAGTGTTAAACACACACAATCACACACTTTGTAGTTAGCCAAATCTTGATTCAAATTCTTCCTCTTGAACTCACTAGCTGTATGATTCAGTTTTCTCATCTATAACCTGCTGTCTCTGGTGAAAATTAAATAAGATTAAATAAGATAAGAAGGTTAACTCGACACATAGTAGGTGGTTAACAAATGACTATTAGTACAATGAATCGCGTCCCTTGTCTTCCTGGACTCCAGAAAAGAGCACTTTTTTATGAAATGTTGGCCAACACCACTACATCTAGCATTCAGTCACTGGTGTCATTTACCTTTTCTCTGAGCATAGTCTTCAGGACTTTTGCCTCTCTCTCTCTCCTACCACACCAACATGAAATTGTACGTGTATTAATTATAAGCCCATCAGCCAATCTAACAGCACAAGAATGATGCTCACGGCAGTCTAACTCATCTGGAAGGATGGATGACAGCAAGGTCAAGTGAGGGGACCAAAAAACATAACAGAAAAAATAAGTTGTCACAGAACTTATGTCATAGTGCACAGCTAATTAGAATATTCTGGAAAGCAGCCTCCTTGGAAGGACAACAATTGCATACCACCAAAGATGCTGGGCTCGGCATTTCTTTTCGACTAAAGATCATGAATTCTAACAAAACAACTATAACATGATCTGCAAACTATTTTTAGCTTCCCAAGCCTATTTTTTTCTTACACTAAGTAGGAAAAGAATTACTCCAGGCATTTCCAATCGCACACACACATCATTATGTTTTCAAAGATAGTGACTTCTAAAAAGCAGAACAATGTATATTAAACCTCTTGTATCTTTGCTAATAGAAAAGTCAACATAATATTTGAAAATGTCCTCTTGACAGTCTTCATTTAAGCCAACCCCATGCAGGTGGGCAGTAAATAGGCTATAATTTCTGATGGCCTGGAACACAATCAAGAAGTGTTTAAGATCAGAAATGTGGTCACCTTGTGAAAAAAGGCAATGTAACGCACTCTAGTCTGGTCACTCCACTCAGAGCAGATGGATTTCCACATTAAAAAACTAACATTAAAAGTTGCCTTGGGTAGGATAACAGAACAGGCATCCCGAAATGCTATACTGGTCCTGTTTTCTAATGGTTTCTTTCCTGAGGGCATCCAGGAGAGAAGTTCAATCTTTCTAATGGGAATATAACTGTACTACAACACTCCAAGGGCATTTACCACTTTAAAAAGGAACTCCAAACTTTGCTGCCTTTAAAAGGCAGTAGGTCATTGGGAAAAGCCATTTTTCAAAGCTCCAGTGAACTGGCACTCTGCTTTTAGCCAGCCACAGAGATAAGGCGCGCAACCTCGCTAACAGAATTGCCTTTCCTTAATTTTTAATGCCTGTCCATTTCAGGGCTCCCAAGAGGAATCAATGACCTATTCATGGCATCAAAAATGGGTTGGGCTGTGGGTAGGCATGGGTTTTGACAAAGCAGGAAGGAAAATCATCCATCAACTATTCATTTTAGATGAACATTTGATAAAGGTTATAAGAGTACAACATAAAGGAATCTTGTTATCCATCCCAAAAGGAAATAAAAAAGTAATAATCTCATCATTGTCACCCCTCAGAATTTAAGTGAAAATAAAGCTCCTAGAGGGGAAGGCACATGTTTTTCATTTCCCATTCTGAAAGCACACACAGGTATAAGCATGTTCAAATGGCAGTGAATTCGCCTGGAATGTGAAAGACCATGGGGTTCACACATATAAAAGATCAACAGTTGTTTTAGAAATTAACTACACCACATCTTAAACTTCTACATAAGTTCTAAACTGATCCAGGTGTTATCATCAGGGTAGAAACAGATGCAGTGTTAGCACATTAAACTGTGAATCCAGTTCCAACACTGCTTAATGGGCTCCACATGCTGCAAATGATCATCATGGTAGGAAGTGCACTCAACCAAAAGCCTAACTTTCAAACAAAATGAGAGTTTCATTATCCGTATCATTCTCACCACTGACTATGCTGGGACTAACATTGTTTTTACACTGATTACAGCGCATCAGTATTTTTGAGGGAGGGAAACGACAGTAGGAGACTGATGCAATATCAGAACAACATGGTTGCCATGGTTGTCACGGGGTGCGGACATCGTGACACCAATGCTGTCGCCACAATAAAGTTAGCACGGGTTGCACCAGCCTTATCTTGTGATTCCATCTAGATCCCCAATGTGGCTAAGGGAGGTGAGAAGAACGAGGGAAAGTTTATATAGTAACCACCATTATTTAATGTGTGTATAGAACTTTCTAGTTTTTAAAGTATTTTTATATGCATCATGTTATGTTACAAATGCTTTTCCTGTCAGATGAAAAAAGTGAAGGAAATAAAGCCTCTCATGCAAGATCACATAGTGAGTAAGGAGCAGAATCAGGCAAACATCAGATCTTGGGACTGGTGTTCTCATGCCACTTCTACTCCACTGTGTCTCCAGTCTGAGATCTCTGCATTGGGGAGGACTCTGTCCCCATTGCCTTGATAATTTACAAGAACAACAAAAAAAAACCTTGGGTTATTCTAGAAAAATAATGCACAATAAAGGAGCACAACTATGTTTTAGTCAATTCCCTTTGGCCCACACCATTTCTTTTGCAACTAACAGCACTGACTAAAAGGTCTAAATGGCGCTAAATTAGTGCAACATACTGGAAAGCTGTCTGGAATGGAAGGGATTTCATCATGGAGTGTTCTGAGTGCATCGATTTTTCTATTGATCAAAAGCCTTATGGTTTTCAAATAACTTCAAAAACAGACAATTAAAATAATGCCAAACTGTTCTTTATAGTTTTCCTACTTCCAGAATTCAACTCTAATGAAAATTAACTGAATTCTTAACTCTACTGAGAAGCCATATTACAATTTTTTGAGTTGCTTAATTTTTAAATCCATCTTATTTCTTGAACTTCAGCCTTAGTACTTATTTTACATCAAGCAGACCCCAGTAGATGGTTAACCCTGAGGCAAGTCAGCTTCCAGTATAACTCATATTAAGAATAAAACTTGTTGTTATGACAAGGAGGCAACATATTTCCAAATAATATCTCAAGGGGGGGCTTCAAAAATAGGTATTATAGTTTTTGTCAAAAGATTCTTCTGAAAATTGGACTTCTATTTTTATTTTTAATCTAAAATGGTCTTATCTTGTCATTTTTGACTAATGCATATATTATACAGATTAGAAACTAAGTGAATTAGAGAATGAAAAGGAAAAAAAAATGCTGGCAGAGTAGCAGTAGGAAATTTTGAGTATTTGAATAGGAAATTTGTGAGAACACCAACCACACAAAGTCCCAAGCCTTCCTGTCTCAACGAGAGTGGAGGAATGGAGGCAGGCCAAACGGTTGTGTATCTTCTCTCCTCTGGATTGTACTTACCATTACAAGAACTACAGCATGATCAGCTCAATTATCGGCAAAAGGGGTGAATTACAATCCTAGATAACCAGAGATGATGACTTATAAACATAGATAATAGTGTCTGTATTAGTTTCCTATTGTTACCATAACAAATTAGCACATACTTAGGGGTAAAAATAAAAATAAAAAACCATAAATTTATCATCTTACAATTCCTGGGGCCTTAAGTACAAAAATGGATTTCACTGGGCTAAAATCGAGGCATTAGCCGGACTGTGCTCCTAGAGAGAGGAGGCTCCAGAGGAGAATCCAGTTCCTTGTTTTTCCCAGCTGACAGAGGCCGTTCCTTGACTCCTGCTCCCTTTCTCCATCTTCAATGCCAGCAATTAATTACATCACTCAACTTCTGCTTCCATGGTCTCTTCTTTTCCCTGACTCTCCTGCCCTCCTCTTTCCATCCGAGGAACCCTTGTGATTATACCTAGCCAACCCACATAATCCAGGATAATCTCCCATTTTAAAATCCTCAATTTAATCACCTCTGTAAAATCCCTTTTACCATGTAAAATAGCATATTCACAGGTTCTGAGGATGAGGATGTGGATATCTTTGGGAGGCCATTATTCTGCCTAGCACAGTATATTAACAAGGTTATCAAAATCACTTCCTGACTAAAACATACAAGGTACAATCTCCTTAGGCATGCAGAAACAAGAGCCAACAATTTATATGTGCAAACAAATAGATAAAAATTACTAGCATTTCTTATTTTTCACTATATTACCAAAAGAAAACATGATGCAAAGGGCTGAAGCAGCATGCAATTAAGACAAAGTGGAGAATAAGTTGATATGTAGAACAGAGAAAGTCCAGAAGGTTTTCCTGATGTGAGGAGAGGGACAACTTCCATAGCAGAGCTCCACAAGCTCTCATCACTCCAAACCCCCTCTAACATCCCTTCTCGACCTCAAATAGAATCCAGAGAACTAGAACTTGCAACTAAAGGAAGTGGTCAGTTCACAGCTATGGATTTCACACATATTATGTTACGCCCAGGAGAGACAGTCAAAATATTAACAACTAACACAGAATGGGCACTGGCCACAGTACTGGAGCAGGGTTTTCTAGGAAGCCTTCTGCTTTGTTCAACATTAAACTTGAAGTACCTAGAGCCTGGGGAAGTCCAGGTGATCTCAGGTGAGGGCATAGGATGGTCAAGGAAGAGGAAGCCTCAGAAGGCAATACTTCCATGGTCACAACAGTGAGAACTGGCTAAATATTAGTGTCCCAACATAACTGATACAGGTGGCCAACGACTGCCACAGTGAGTATGCATCACATTCCTAATCAGAGAAATAAAGCTAGATTGCAAAGATTGCCTAATTTAAAAAAAAATGTGTTGATACTGTTCTAATCAGGGGGATGATTAGATTAGCAGAGGGCAGTATCCAAACAGGTCTTGACAGAATGGAATGACGAACTATGTAAAGAAAGTTAAGTTTAACAGGGATAAGGATTAGATCCTAAGACCTAAAATTGGGCCCAAAGCGAGGAGCTACAGGATGAGAAGGTGTGAGTCAGCAACATATACATGGAAAAATACTTGCGAGATTTTAAAAAAAGGAAGACTCAATGAGTCACAGTATGATGTGGGCACCAAAAAAAAAAAAGAAAGAAAGAAAAAATCAAATGCAAATTTAGACTGTAATGAAAACAAAGATAATACATAATCAAAAAGCTATAGTGTTTACAATAAGGATATAATAACCTCAAAACATTTTCTCAATATTATTATGACATCGCTAGATATTATCAGTATTACTATATTATTACTATATTATTCTTATACATACTAATAATAAAAATGATGACGATGATAGGTATCTATTAATTACAGTTTATGTGACAAATTCTGTAATAGAAGAATCCTAATTCACTATCCACAACATTCAAATTAATATCCTCATTTTCAGAATGATGAACTAAATCATCCAAAGCCACCCAACTGTAGGGAACCATTTGGGAAGATAATTTAAAAAGCAAAGTATTCAAAGAAGCTACCAAGATGACATGGGAATCTTGGAACCATGTCACTCTGAGGATGTTTAAGAAAATACGTTTATTTATCAGTAAAAAGTGACTTAGAACAGAGAGGATGAGAAATTTCTTCAAATTATTGAAACTGCATCACACTAAAGAAAGATCAGACTTGTTCTATACTTACCACGAAGACACACCGAGATCATGGAAGTACTAATTGCTAGATGATGAGCTATATAGAAGAACTTTAACTGTTAGATATTTCTAGTGATGGAACATGCCACCTCAGGAGTTACTGATTCTCTATCACTGGAAAACAGAGGCTAGATGGTCATGATAGAATACTGGCAGATGAGGGCTACATTAGACAAATTTCAAGAGTATTCCAAATATTAGGATTCAATGATTCTTTTTCTCTGGAGGATATCACTTTTAAAACAGATACTCATAACCTAATGTTTCCCACACATTAGTCATTCATATACAACCTCCATGATTTCTGCCACACAGACTTACTAATTTACTCCATATCTACCTTTAAATTGCCTCACCTTCATGTTCCTTATTACATTTTGCCTTGTTCTTAGCAATAATATCCATAGACTATCTGACATGCTAATTACATTTTTAATAGTAACCCTTAAATAGTAAAACATTTATGTGTACAACTCCTAAAATCAGTCACAAATGTACCACCCATTAAACACACTGTTGTAGCTTCTCAGTTACAAAAGTGCATACATTTTTTTTAATTAGATTTTTTCCCCCAAATCTCTAAGCTTTGGAAATCACCTCTAAGAGACCTGTTGGGTCATATTCATATTTTGGTATAGTTCTGGTATTGCTGCTGTGTTTGTTTGTTTTGTTTAAGAGAAGACAGTGGAAAAGCATTCTGCAGGCTTCCAACTTACTTGGCTGTATTTGCCTCACGTTTTGGAAACCAATTATTCATATAACGGAATAACAGCCTTTAGTGTCAACATAGAGCTCTGGTCAACATTAATGTTTCTTAAAGTTGAGCTCAAAAATCTTGAATACATTATGGAATTTGTCAATATTCCAATTAGCTAGCAGATTAACAGCTGTATAGTTGGCAGATTTGTTTGGGATTTCCACTTTGCTCACAGAGTTATTCGACAATATACCATACATTTTGAGAGAGTGAAACAAGTGAATGAAGTAAAGAAGCATTTTAAGGAAAAGATATAGATGTGTCTAGTTGCTTTTCCTCCACAACTTCCTCAAGAAAGAATCTCAACAAAGAGCAGAGGCTTCTCAGAGCCCAACTGCTGAAATTTTAAAACATAGAAGCCTTCAGTTGACACTACTATGTAGCCTTTCTAGTAATTTTGAAAATATCTACTATAAACTGAAATAAGGCTCTTAACACATGATCAAACTTCAGAAGGGGATTCTCGCCTGGCTTCAGTACCTACTTTAGTTGATAAATGTTTGTCCAGCTGGTTTTATTGGTTTATTATGCTGCGGTGAAACAAAACAGTTCCATCTTGCTACCTTAAAAAATAAACAACTTTGTCATTAAAAAACACTCTAGAAAATACGGCAACATTACATGTTCCACTCCATAAAGTTTATTGACATTTTGGAAAAGAAGACAAATATGCAGAGGGAGGAGGGAACCCTCCACTGAGAGAAAGCAGCCAGGTCTAACTACAATTAGACTGAATTTGGTGATAGACTGAAGCCATCATGGCCAGTCCTTGGATAGTACTGAATCTCTTGGATAGTGCCTTGACCATGGCCCAAACTTGACATTGAATTTCTGTGGTGGGTGGGAGCAGCATGGAACTGAGACTGCAAATCTGGAATGACAACATTTGCTTCCCAAGACTGAGCTTTTACATCTTCTTCTGTTCTCCAACCCTCCTTCCTCCTTTTAGACAAGTTGTTTCATTTCTGTGGATGACAAATTACGTTAAAGCTATAATTCAGAGAATTTAAAAACTTTCTGCTCGGATTCAAAAGCTGCTTTGAATTAGTAGCTGCCACAGGCATGCGATTTCTTTGTAGTGAAGACTTGTGCCTTTCAGTAGATTTCTCTTTCTGTTGGCTAAGCCTTATAAATTAATAAGCGTTTAATAAAACTTCACCACTGCTTTGCAAAAGAAATTTTGTTGGGATTATAGAAGATATACACCAGGCAATAATGTAGGACAAATTACCACTCAGGAAAAAACACAGAGGTATTTTAAGCCCCTTGCTAAGATAACATTTGTGATATAAATAACTGGTGAAACAGTCCACAGTAGTATATTATTTATTCCGCCTGAAAATTTGTTGTACAAGTTCCACTTATAAAAGAACTGTACACATAATTAAAAACCGCAACTGTTTCTCAAACAAAATTTACTCAAGTCTGGCCATGGTAAGGAAGGGCAAATGACGAAACAAGTTTAGCGAGAAAATTTGCTACATAACTACTTGGCTTGCATAGTTATGTTGTAGGATTAGTTTCTTTTTAACTTCACAGCCAAATGAATTCAGCTAGATGGCAAGTACGAGAGAATAAAGGCCCCAAGCATGTTTGACTCCATGAAAAGAAGTATGGTTATCTAGCTCAAGAAGCACACCCAGATCTTCAGGTCACTTCAAAATGGTAACAGTTTCACAGATAAAATATTCCATATAAGCCATTTCCTATCAATTATAAAGGCAACACTGTGCTACGAGTCCAATTTAGTCCAAATTTAGTCAAGTGATGACATAACCAATACTAAGGGATGCGAAGAGGACTTCTATACGTCTCAAAAGCTTTCCTAACACATCTCTCAGCCTCACCAAATGTTCTGAGTATAGCCCTTCAGGAGATTCATGCTGCCAATGACATTCTTTGAGTGTTCAGAGAGAGAGCACTGGAGCAGAAATCAAGGGCTTGAAGTTCCAGTGTCAGTACTGCCACAACCTGCAACCTGTTTGAATATCTACTTTCTTGCCTGGGTAAAATTAAGAGATTGAGGGGTCAGCCCGGTGGCATAGTCATTGAGTTCATGTGCTCCGCTTGGGCGGCCCAGGGTTCACTGGTTCAGATCCTGGGTGCAGACACAGGCACTGCTTATCAAGCCATGCTGTGGTGGCATCCCACATATAAAACAGAGGAAGATGGGCACAGATGTTAGCTCAGGGATAATCTTCCTCAAAAAAAAAAAAAAAAATTAAGAGATTGAGACCAATGATCTCTCAGCTCCCTTTCAGTTCATTAAAAAAAAAACATGAAAATTTCTAAACTGAGCATTTCAGTAAAAGTACATCATCAACAGTTTGGCCTAAAGATAAAGATAAAGCACAAACTCAAACCTCAGAGAATAATTGAGACCAACCCAGTCCCCTTTACTAAAGATATGTCCATTCAGTAATTATTTATGAAGCACCTACAATCTGCCAGGCTCCGTACTATGAGAGGACTTAACCCAGGCTCTGGTCAATGAGACATAATAGACTCTTCTGGGAAATATTTTCTCACTCATAAGAGAGAGAAGTATTCTTCATTCCCTCCCTTTCCCACTTGGGTGACTTCCTATGAGAACATGATGTATGGAGCTGCAACCACCTTACAAATAGGAGAGAAATAGCTGACACACAAGGATGGACTGACCATGAGTTCTTAGCATCACGGCTAAGTCACCAAACCAAGCCTGAGACCACCTTGCTCCAGACTTCTTATTAAATAGAGAAGAAATAACATTATTATAGTTTAAGCCACTTTTAATCAGCTCTTATTTGCCAGCAAAGTCAAAGCATTGGATAATATCCTTATTTATCTGTCTCTTTATTTGATATTTCACATATCTTACTCATCATCCAGAATAAAAATTCAATTTTTGTAGTATTTATTTCAACTATGCTTTTTTTTTAACAAAAAAGAGATACAATTCAAATCTACTTTTCAACCTACCTCTTTCCTATTCCTCACTTTCCCTTTCAGGAGTTACCATCATCCTGAAGTTGGTACGATTCTTCACCTTATGTTTTTATATTTTCACTACTTAAATATTTTCCCGTGTAAAACATATAATATTGTTTTGTGTATTTAAGACTTACTGAAATATATTGTAAGCTGAGCTTTATTCTGCAACCCACATTTTTACCTTTAACAAGTTTCTAAGATTTATCCATATTTATACACCTTTTTCATTGTAATTACTATAGAGTATTCCAGAATGAAGATTCTACCATCCAGGTGGACTGACCAACATTTTGATTGTTTCCAATTTTTTGGTTGACATATATATATTTTTTGTTTTAAGATTTTTATTTTTCCTTTTTCTCCCAAAGCCCCCTGGTACATAGTTGTGTATTTTTAGTTGTGGGTCCTTCTAGTTGTGGCATGTGGGATGCCGCCTGAGCATGGCCTGATGAGCAGTGCCATGTCTGCGCCCAGGATTCAAACTGGTGAAACCCTGGGCCACCGAAGCAGACCACGTGAACTTAACCACTCGCCCACAGGGCCAGCCCCCTAACGTATATTTTTTTAACACATAAAACTAAAAGCTATTGCTTAGTCTTCCAATTATGCACTAAATATGAAAAAATTAAAACTGAAGACATATAGTACATCTCCTGGGAGACCATTAGGGCATGGAAAAAAAAAAAGGCTACAGGTCATACTGTTCTTTAGGAAAACACTACTGTTATCTGATCTTCCACTAACATCATCTCCAGCTATTTGTAAATTAGTGTCAGTATCACCAACAGACTATCCTCAACCCTAAAGGGCAAGATGTAACGTGCATCAATGGGGCCCTAAACAGATAGTTCTACACTGCAGAGACATTTATATTGGCTAAGGGAAGAGTAGATCAATAAACACTTTAAGGCCACTGTGCTGGGCAGAGACACAAAGGTACAATTATGAAAACACAATAGAACTCAACTTGAGACAATGCAATTTAGTTTGTGAAAATGCTGCTTCAACCCTTCCAATCTCGCATTCAACATTTAGCCCAAACAGATTCCCCTTAGAGAGAAAAAAGGAAAGCTGTCAAGTTGCTTTTACAGCCAATCTGCAAACCTCATCCTTAACTCCATTCTTTAAAATGTTCTGAAGTGCATCCCATTGCTCTTGGGACAAAGAAGAAAACGTTTAACACTGTCTACAGAGCTCAGGGTTATACGGCCTCCGCTCACCTTTCAGCCACATCAGAGGCCAGTTCTCCCTGACTATCAAACCTTCAGCCACATCAGACTTTTATCCTTTCTCTTACCGAGCTCTTAATCCCCTCAGTATCTTTGGAAAGATCTTCTAAAGCTTTTCCTCCTGTCTCCACCTTGTCCACCTTTACCTTGCTACGCCCCCCTCATCTGTCAAAGTTCATCTTCAAAGCTGATTTCAGAAACCCTCCTCACATTTCTGAGTAGATGAGGTCTCCTTGTTTTTACCTTGATGACACCTATCACAACTGTAATTATTTGCTTAACGATCCTCCGCTCCACTAGACTACAAGGGCCACAGGGCGGGAGTCACGCTTCATTTTTCTACCGTCGTGTTCCTCACTCCTGGAAGAGTGCCTAACGATAGCAGGTGCTCAAATAACTGCTCTAAATCAATAAAAATGCTGCAAGGGAGACTGTCAGAGGTTTTGACGCACAGTAGACACTCTCAAATGCTGGCTGAATAAACAAATTTCAAATAATACCAAACACCAAACAGCAGACAATTTTAATTCCAAATGCAGGCTTGGTACCTCCACAGAGTACAAATACTGCAGGACACATTCTGGTCTTTTCTTCCTCAGAAACATGAATATAGCATTATGACAATCATCACCATTAAATAAAATGACTTACAAATACTCTCATTCACAAATCCGAATGCTGTGCAATTACTGTGTCTTGATATGTGCACAGTCTATATTTCCATTGACATTTACTTTTTCATCTATTTTCAAACGACAACAGCTGACTTAAAATAAATTAGGGCAGAATAAAGATTAAGGGCATCTACATTATAAAAGATCAACCATCTAATATTTATAAATTATATTTTTCAATTTGGCAATTCAGAATATTGAGATTTAAAATTTTTCTCATATATCCTCTTCCTAAAGAACTAGAAAGCATAGATCATGTATCATATTCTATTATATATACTTAATACTTATTTATTCATTTATATCAAGGTATAATTGACATATAACGTGATTTTAGTTTCAGGTATACAACATAATAATTGGATATTTGCATATATGGCAAAAAGATCACCACAATAAGTCTAATTAACATCCAGATTACCTTATTTATTTAGCAGAGACTTTCATAGCCTTGGTATGTACTGGGCACTGTTCCGCCTATACAATTATGAAGTCATATAATCTTCTTAAAGTTTAAGAGGTTGAACAAAAAAAAACAAAAATAATTATATATAAACAGCACTAACCTGTTTATGTTTTTTAAACTAACATCGATCAATTAGGGGTGATATTTGCCAAAATTAGCTAAATGCTTATTAGTTCTAATTTCTATCATCAAGAAAGAATTGCTTTGAGGACTCTTTTCTTAAAGTCAATGATCTCTTCACCTGTAAAATATTTTTTTAAATAGTCACAAAAACCAAAAACTTGGATGGCATAAATTCTCTTTTAAATGAAAACAAAAAGCCACTCTAAAAATAAAATTCAAACGAATAAAACCTTAGCAGATAATCTTTGATTTGCTACTCACAAGCTTTGTAGCAAAAGGCCTTTTCTTATCTCTAAATGACAGATCAAGACAACTGATGTTTGAATCTCCTTCAAATTCTAGCAATCTACGTTTTTACAATATAACCTTGAAAAGAGCTCAAGCTCTAGGAAGTAGGTTTGGTTCTGACTGTGGATATGTATGAGAATCCTGAAAAGCTTTCTGAATCAGTTATATCTTTGTTTTCTCAACTGTAAACTAAACAAAACAAAAAAACCCCA